CCCTACATTTGAACCCTAAAGTTCAAAGTGGGGATACAGCCTTGACAACATCTTTGCATGTTCCAACAAAATTAAAGCTCTGTTGCCAATCTTTTATCAACAACATGAACACTTTTTGGGGGGCCTGGTCCTCCACAGCCTATACCCAGGGCCGTAGCAACAAAGAACGTGGCCTCCTCCGAACGTGGCCCCCTCCGAACATATGTCCGGGCGGGGCCCCTTACAATGCAGAAACTGGAATGTGGTATTTATTTTGCCACTTTTAGGGACCCCCTTCCTTGCGGGGCCCCCTTCGGTCGGAGGGTACGGAGGGCGCTCGCTACGCCTCTGCCTATACCACTGGAGGTTTGGCTGCCAGGTCTTTTGCCTGGGTAGGAAACTGCAGGATTAGTAGAAGTTGATATTTCCAGAACCAATACTGTAGGAGATTTAGACTTCCAGAGGGAAGAGTTAAAACTACAGAGTTACTACACATAAATTGGTTGTAAGGTTACACAATTTGTGAGCATAATGCTCTATGGCCTAATTTGTATTGCTCTGATCTGTTCAAATCTATATGTATAAGTTCCAGACAATAGACTACCAATTTTGCTGCAATGTTAAAACAAGATTTATAGTGACCTAATGCACTATTTGTATGCATCTACTATGTGTAAATGAGTGTGTGTGTGTGTGTGTGTGTGTGTGTGTGTGTGTGTGTGAGAGAGAGAGAGAGAGAAGTAAAACCATGATTTAAAGCAGCCAAATTAAATCTAGAAAAATGTTGGCCTATAATGAAGGTTAAATCATACCATAAATACGTCTACTGCATTTCCAGGTTATAATCAACATTGCCTTTTACTCTTAGATGAAAATGAAGTAAAGACAGTTTTAGTCTTCGTATGTTCTAACAGTGACATTTTAAATGACTGCATTTGTTAACAACTCTAGACTGTTAGAAATATCTCCAGGAAAAGAAAAATAGCAAAAGAAATGGTTCCTCGGTTGTTTACCTGGTCATCTGTGGCCTCAGAAGGGATTACTAGTACAGTATCTCCTCGTTTTAAGTTAAGTTCGTCAGTATTAGCGGCCTCAAAATCATGTAGTGCTTCAACCTGAAGAAAAAAATAAAAAACATGAGGATGTCATCTAGGGAAAGTACTAAGAAAAATTAAGTAGAAACAAATTATCTCTTTCGCGACTCACATTTAACAATGTGCACCTGTACTGTGCTCTCAAACTCTCAAACACACTGCCATGGCATTGCCTCTCTTTCAACTGATATCATTGCACATACACTCAATTTTTTTTTGTTTGCTATGTCTGTTAATTCCATGTTTTTCTATTCTCTTCCAGGCAGAAATTCACATATTAAATATGAACGTATTCACTCATTCCTTCAATGACAGGTGGGTCCATTCAGCTCACAGGGATTTGGAGGATCGGTGATGCTGCAACATCCCATAAGTACTGCTGCTTGGGCAAATCCTGCTGTCCTTATTCATAGAATGGCATCGTTGGAGGCTTTCCCGAGGAAGGGTGAAAGGATTTGGCCACCCTAGCTTAGGCAAACTGAGTAGGGACTTAGAGTGATGCTAATGCCCTAGTGATATCTGTGGTTCTGGGCTTTTGATCTTATTCCTGAAGCAATCCTCCCTGTAAATAATAGTGAGGAAAATGGTATAATTCCAGTGGTCAGTTAAAGGTGTGGGTAATGGGAATCCTGCTGTGTGGACTGGAAAGCACTCTTGTTTGCTGGTAAATTAGGGCTATGATATTTCTCACTTCAACTAGTAATTATTGACAAGATAATCTGTTTGCAGAGTTAAACTGCTTCTTTAACTAAATAATTCCATCTCCATAAGTAGATACCCTATTCTAGTTTCCTTGATGGCAACTAATCCCATGGCATCACTGCAGCAAAGCCAGGAATGGTAATGTGCATTCTCACTTAACTCACGAGAGTTTGGTGAAAAATAGAGGAACACTGTCAGTGTGTCTTAAGTCATAGTCACATGACATCTCACTCTGACCTGTTATTTTTGAAGTTTGCAAAGAACATTTGTGTATGAGAACAGAAAAAAACAATCCAAAATAATTGGGGATAACCATGGCTTGCTATGGGACTTGTTAGACTGAACTATCCAAATTATAATACAGAGCACATGAACTTCATTCATCTTCGCTCAGCTTATCTACTAGTCAATCATTCTGAAATAAGAAATATCAGGTACCTGGGAACCAAGAAACACAAAGGTTCTTGGCAGGCAACAAACACTTAAGGCAGAATTTCTCAGACCTGCCCACTAAAATATAATGCTTTTCAACATGATCACGTTAAAAGCTACTCTAATAATATGTGGAATCGTGGTTGCATTGAAGTCAATTGCAAAAGTTTCATTGACTTCAACGGGGCCATGATTGCACTGGTAGATTTTCAGGCCAGAAAGGAACACTTTGATAATCTAGTCTAATCTGCTGCATAATGCAGGCCATAGAAATTCTCCCAACATATTACAATATTTTCACTGCTCTGATTAGATTAGTGTACTTGCACATTTGACTGAACGCCATAATTCTACAGGATCATGTTGCACATAAAGAATAGTACAAGTAAAGTTTTATTTCCCCCTTTATGTAGAAAAAACAATTCAAGGAAAAACAGCTTGACATTTTTGCTGTTTAACCACATAGCTGTCAGCCTAAATAAACTGTGCCCCTGGATATACTTACTTACACTTGATGCTAGGTTTAAAGGAATGTTTAAAATAAGAGTGACTAAATACTCAAGTAGACCTTAAAGAGAAAGCCAGGTGGCATTCCACGGGCTGCATCATCCGCTGACACAGGCTGTTCTTCAGAGGATGTAGTTTGGATTTCTTCAATGGTTTTCTGCTCACTTACAACCTGGGAAGGTTCACTGGCATCACTTTCAATGCCCTGAGTGCCAACGTCTTTCACAACATCTTCGGATTCATTCACTATGACTTCATGCTCCTCTCCCTCCCCTTCGTTGTTTGATGCTGGCTCTATTACTAGTGAAGGGATGCTGCTGACTTTCTCCTGGAAAAAAAAAAACAACAGAAAAAGAGAGAAATGTTATGAGCGTGATTAATTAGCCTCGTTAGCACTGACCCCCTACTTGGTAAGGCAATTCCCATCTTTTCATGTGCTGTATATTTATACCTGCCTACTCTATTTTTCACTCCATGCATCTGATGAAGTGGGTTATAGCCCATGAAAGCTTATGCCCAAATATATTGGTTAGTCTCTAAGGTGCAACAAGGACTCCTCGTTTTTATTTCTAAAAAGTATGAAACAAAACTTTTATTTATTTGCTTTTCTGTTTATGAGAGAAAATACGGATGTATTTTCCTCTCGTGCACAGCTGATCTTCTCACTGACGAGAACTATGCTAGTGCATCCAAGGGATAATATCCTCCCAGTTTGTGACTGCCGGTCTCCATTCCTCCCCATGTCAATTCTCTATCTTACTCCCTATGGATTATAACTGTCACCATAGCAGATGATAAAAAAACTCTGCACTTTATTCTGTTTTCACTTAGGCCCCTGTCCAACTTCCAGTGAAATTAATGGGAGTACTTCCACTAACTTCAAAGTACTTTGGATCAGGCCATAACACTGCCGTAAATCAGAAGTAACTCCACTTATGTCAGTGAAGTAACACTAGTGTAAATTTTGTGGGAGATTAAAATCAGGCACACTATATTCACTTGCAATAGTTTAAACACCAATTCACGTTTTCCCTGATTTACACCAGCATAAACGACAGAAGAGACCAGGTGAAGCTCATTACAATCATGTTAATATAAGAGCCCTATTCAGATAGGATTTTAGGCAGCTGTCTGGGGTGTGCAACCTGCTAAAGACCGCATTGGCCAGCTATTCACCTGGCCAACATATCAATTCAGCCTGGTGCTCAAGGGAAATACCTCTCCCCCAATTCTGTAGCATTGTTCATTAATGTGTGTGTGTGGGAGAGGTTGTGTAAATGAGTTTCCCAAATCTCAATCTGTACCTCTTCTCCCAACCCCCCATGGGGAAACAGGTAGAACAGAGGATAACCAGGTCTATCAATTGTTTATTTTATATAGTCTGGGTTAAAAATACCCCCGAACCCTACATAAAGAGAGAATTTGTATTGCTGGGTCAGGGACTGTTCTGATTATTATTAATTATTTGTACTGTGGTAGGACCTAGGGGCCTCAACTTCATTGTGTGAGGCATTGCATAAGCACATAACAAAAAGCAATCCACAACCTGAAGAGCTTGAGACAACAGGCGCGTGATTGAAACAAACAGATGTGAAGAGCCTAAGGTAATTGTGACATGGAAGTCCTTGATCCCTAGAGTGCCAGAGTACCACTTGGGGTCTTTTCTTTGGTCTCCAGTTGCTGAAAAGCTGGAAGCCAGCCTGACCACACACTAGAATATCCTTGTAATTTATTTCTTCTAGAGTTGCATGGGATTCAAGGCCTAACTTTCACAGGTGCCAGGAGGGTGTAGAGGGAGATTTTCAGAGGCACAAAGGGCAGTTTGGTACCCAACTCCCAATGGGAATAAGTGGGAGTTAGGCCTTTGCTACCCTGTGTGCCTCTGAAAATCTCCCCCGTTGAGCACTCACCACTCCTATTGACTAATTACATGTGCTCAGGATCTCTGAACACCAGTGCACTTGATCTTATTTATCATTGGGGAAAAAAAGAGCAGTTAGATAAAAAACACATCTGAAGAGTCTCAAAGCTCTGTTTAACAAGCCACTGCTCTCCAGATTTATAGCTAATGGAATGAAATAGCTTCTGCTTATCTTTAGGATTAATTGAGCCTGTTATAAACCCCAGAACACATCTGAGAAGTATCTATCAATTGTAAAGTCATCAGAAATGATTTTTGGCACACTGGGCCAGATTCCCAGCTGGTATAAATTGGCATAGCTCCATTGAAGTCAGTGGTGCTACTTCATACCAGTGTCACTTAAAGCAGAATGGGGGCCAATATGGACAGATAAGTCATCGCTCTCCTGAGAAAGGGTGTTGTGGTAACTCAGGCCAGGAGACATGAACAGTCCAATATTTTCTCTTGTGTAGTGCTTCAGAAAGCATCCCGACAACATCTTACCTGAGCCACCACTGCTTCCTTCTCTTCTATTTTAGGTTTGTCACCTTCATCAGCTGTTACAGCTGCAGCAGCACCTTCACTGGCTTCAGTTACAACAGCATTTTCAACTGCACCTGCATCTTCAGTTATAGCTACCATCTACAGCCAACAGAAAATGGAAACCGTTCAGCCACATCCATCATTCTGGACAACAGCTATTCACCAACTGTACCCAGGCCACTTCAAAGAGCTCCAGGCTTTGACTGATTGATAGATAGATATAAACTGGCATCAGTTCGCTTATTTAGATCCATTAGACAATGCAGTGGGCTTTATTATGATCCCACACTGGTTTTATACCAAGGTAATGCCACTGATTTCAATGGAGTGTCGCTGTATTTACATCAAAGTAAATACAAAGAGACTCATGCTGTTAGATGCTATTCTGCACCTTATGATTAAAGATGGGAAAAACCTGTTATGATGCTTCCTTGGTATACTTAGTGGCATCGACAAAAGTTACTTCTACAGGGAGGGTTTCCTAAGGCATTAACTAAAATAAAAATGGATTAAAGGCATACGGCTGCATAGTGGGATGGCTCCTTACTGGGCACAGATATAAAACACACACTACAATAAAAAAAAAGTTTTAGAGCAGAGTTTGAGGGCTCATTTGCCTTAAAGCTGCATTGCTGGAGGATCTGCCTCTAGGAGAGAGGAGAATGGGTCTACACTGCACTTTACACATGGGTTCGGCTGGAGAAGGGCCACTTTCAACAGGGCTGCGGCTCTATAGGAACCCAGCAGTGAAAGCTGTCCATGAAACATAATGAATGGATGCCCTGGCCACATCCCCTTCCCAGCTAGTGTCATCTGCTTTGGGGGCTCGGCAAATAGAAAACTCATATGCCACATCCAAGCAGCTTCATTATGGTATTTCTGTTTATCATGCCATAGTGAAATTGGGGGTAAAAATGATTCACTTTCCCCTCCACCACTGCATCTAACAAGTTGCATTTAGCAGAATTGGCTTTGGTGGCTAAGAGTCTGATAATCCTTGTTGCCTCAAATCAGATATCTGCTTCATGGATAAGGTTGATCACATCCAATCTGAGTTGGCTGCCATCATTGCTGGACATTACACTGGTCCTTGCCATCATTAACTCTTAATGAGACTGGTAAACAAATCTTTCCAATTTTCTTTACAGAAGATAAGAAAAGCTAAAATATATTGTGTGAATTTATAGAGAGACTTTAATTTTAATTGCATTTGACACAGAATCAAGTATACACAGCTTTAACGGGCAGCCAGATCAAATTATACCAGCAAACATCATGGGACTTGTGAGTAAAGACATCAGGTCAGGCCTTCATTGTACTACCGATTTCAGCAGTCTTGCTTCAAAAAGAGATTTAAATAAACAATAGTTGTAAAAACCCAGAGAGAAGCTAATGGAGGAGAGATGGGGGAGGCAGTGCATATTAGATTGATTTTATACACTATGCTTCTTCAAAATTCTACAGAAATTGATCCTGCTATCTGATGTGATCAGAATCAACACTTCTTTTCTATTTATTGGATTTGTGCAGTCCATTTTCCATGAAGGAAGCGTGTTCTAATTTTACAAATATCAGTCCTAAAATACAGTACACTGAAACAGTCAGACGCTGACAGCCCTTTGTCATAAGTCACCGTATGTACAGCATGCATCAAAATGGAATGATAATTCATTCTTGTGACAGACTATAACAAGAAAAGAAAGAAAATCATAAATATGGGTTTTTGTCGATATTACCAGGGTAAGTGGCAAAAATGAAACCATGTCTCTCTATCATATCTCAAAATCTTGGATTAGCCCCATAGCTATTTAGGATGAAATCCTACCTCCATTTAAGTCAATGGCAAAATTCCCATTTACTTCACTGGGACCATGATTTCACTCTAGATAGCAGTGGTGAATAATACAGGTATTTGTATATCTACATATGCTACCTGATTTCATATTGTAAACAAACCCTCCTGTATACAAAAGAGGTGTAAGTAAGAGGAGAAACACGGCCCAAGGTATTTACTGCTGGGGGAAGTCTATGAGTTAATAGGATCTAGTCCATAATGTTTGACTTGAATAGTGCATGCCAGTTTTCACTAACTTAAGATTGGCCTCAATGGCTGGATTTAAAAAGGGACTGGATAATTTTTATGATAATTAATTATAATTGTAGCTAAGCAAGCTAATATAATGCTATGGGGAACTAAAGCTCATGCTTTAGGGAATACATCCATTGCCTGAAGAGGACTGGATGGATTTCCCATGTACAGAACTGCACAATTGGCTAAACAAATAATGGTGAGAGTGCGTGGGTCTCTCTCTCAAGCATCACATACCACCTTCTGCTGAAGGCAGGATACAAGACTCGATGGATACTGTTTCGCAGCTGTTATGCATTGAACAAATATTGCCAATTTAAATATGAGATTTGATGCATATGTGTGAGGGATGAATGTGCCATGCAAGAGAGGTTGCGTTTACATATACACTATATTAGAGAGCTTGATGAACAGTTACATTTTGAAGACATTAGTCAGCTTGCACTTTGTGGACAGTAAGGGATTTCTTGAATGCAAGATACTGGAACAGACATATCAAGAGTGACAAGCCAAATGCTCTAGAAGAAAGATGGTGTTGTATTTGGTATTATTTCAACCCTCAGTTTTAAAGAAGTAGGGCTTGATTGACCACTATATTACTCCAGTGTCATGCCTGTGTAACTCCATTGATTTCAATGCAGCTTCGCTGGTGTAAAATTGGAATAATGCAATGGTGAATCGGGCCTATAATTTTCTGTTTAAATGGGAAAAAAATCAGCATTACACTTCAGGGCTTGATTCTCCATTCACGCCAATGTAAAGCAGTAGCAACTCTAGTGAAGTCAATGAACCAAATTCTACCCTCAGTTACCCTGGCATAAATTTGGAGTAACTTTACTGATGATAGTAGATTTACTCCACATTTATACCAGCATAACTGAGAGCAGCATTTGGCCCATTGGAGTTACAATCATCTAAAACCAGAATGAGTAGTGAATCGGTCTATGATATTTTAGCAAATACATACATACCAGAGTTCAGAAACTTATAAAAAGAGAGGTAGTTAGCATCTTGCAGGATTGGACCCAAATTGAGGAGTTACCGGAGTTTACAGTTTCCTTATTTTTCAATCCTTTTTCCTATTTCTGAATTTAATTTCCAGTCACTAGTGCTGAAATCCTCATGTTACTCTCACCAGAATTTAAAATACATTGTCAAGGTTGCATTTTAGTAAACAAGGATCCAGAATAAATAGTATATGTTCTCTCACACATATGAGAACATAACCTAAAACAAACAGTCGATCAGAGGGTACCTGGTCTTAAAGAGAAATTCAATATTTCATTAAACTTTTTATTTAGTTGATTTTAACCATATCTAATGAAATGCCCAATTTGTGCTTTAGAAAATAAAATTGTAAGATAATTATATTCTAACTTCTGTTTCAGTTTAGGGCTTAGCATGCTAGAAAAATGGAATGATGAATGAAAGCAATTTTTTTTTAAAAAGACACTATTAGTGTGTCCAGACAAACAAATCCACAGGAAGTGTTAATGCCATTCAAACTCCATGGCAGCATATTTTCTGTTCATTCTGAATGTCAATAGAAACAACATTATATCACCTTCTACCACATAACCACATTCTTACCTGTCCTAAAATATTTATGATACAGTGAAACCCCGCTATAACGCGATGATTGGGGTCCAAAAAATTTGATCGCGATAAACGCGGGGTCGCGGTATAGCGGGGTTACGAAAAGTTTACCATTTAAAGCCGGTCAGTTTCAAGCCGGTCAATTTCTCTTGGGCAGAGAGCAGGGGAGATGTGCAAGGGGCAGAGGACGAGTGAGGAGGAGCTGGGGAGGAGAATGGCTCTTCCCGCCAAAAGGAGAAGCAAGGGTAGAGGGGAAGAGGCAGTGGGGAAGGCACGTTCCTTTTTTTGTTTTTCTTTGGCGGCGCTCCGGGGGGTTTTTTTTTTTTTTTTTGGGGCTGGGGGGTTTTTTGTTTGTTTGTTTGTTTTGTGCTTCGGTGGCGCACCGGCCGGTGCTTTTTTTTTTTTTTTTGGCGCGCTTGGGGCAGCGGGAGCCATCTTATGATCGCGTTATAGTCAAATTCGTGTTATCAAGGGGCGCATTATAGTGTGGTTTCCCTGTAGTATACTACTGCAACAGATAGGTTCTAAAATAGGTCTCAGCTGAATTGACAGATGTTCTAGCTAGCACATATTCATAACACGGAAACAAAAAACCAACACACACAACTTTGTGACACTTTTCTTGAGATATTAAAGAACATATACCCTCCTACGGCTGTTCATATTTACCTCACTCCCTTCCTCAGCAATCCCAGTTGTCTCTTTTTCACCTGCTGTGACAGTCTCCTGCTAAAAAGGAAATATGGTCAGCACATTAATTTAGAGTTTTTGGCAACAGAAAAGTATGCATTAATAAAATTTAATGGAAGCAGGGCATGTACTGGATGCAACAAAATGAATAGCTGAAGCTTAATGGCATAATATATGGAAGCTTATTCAGATATTGTCTGGCAAAACAAACCATTCTTATTACAACACAGCATCAGAGCAACAAGTCAGCATGGACTTAGAACTAAGAAAATTAATCCTTTCCTCCCTCTTCATCACCATTATCATGCTGGGAATTTGAAGAGCTCCATTATTATTTTTTTATGGTTATTCTCACGGTAATGTTAGCTTTGAAAATGTTTTGATAAGTACCTTCCCCAGAGTACTGCTGACCTTCTGGATTACAGCAATCTCAAACTTTTCCTATAGCTGGCTACAACTGTCTTCGTCCCCCTTCCCCGTAACCCAACAACATTTAATTCATATTTTCCTCTTGGGATTTCTCAAAAATGAGAGACTCTTTTTGATGCTCATTGGACAGTGATTCATTTAAGTGAACTGTGCAGAAAGAGATGTTGTTGCACAGAATGTATTGTTTTTCCCAATTAACCAAGGGCTGGTCTACACTACAAAGTTAGGTTGGCTTAACTACATTGCTTAGGGCTGTGAAAAAATTCACGCCCTGTGAAACATAGTTAAGCTTCTCAGAAGAACCTCTTCCATTGCTGTAGTAACTGTCCACACCACAGCGGCGCATCTGTAGCCATGCTGCTGTAGTGTTTCTAGTGTAGACATACCCACAACGTACTTTAAGGTCTGATTCAATGGGGCTCAAACACATGCCTAAAGTTAAAAGTTAAGAATGTGATCACGTGCTTTGCTGAATAGGGGCCTCAGATCTTTTCACAAGGTACTCAGACGTGTTAGGTTTTAACTGAGTTAAAAAAATGACTATGATGTAACTGGCTCCCCATACCTGGTATTTTCTTCAGTGTAGATAGGATTTAACACTAAGGCCCTCTAGACAGGAGGAGTAAAACTGTACTAACTGCAAGACCTGTTGGAAAACAGATGACAAGTACATTTCTTCCAGAACTTTTCTGGACAACCATTTCCTAGCTGTTTTCCAGTTCTATTGTAGCATGCACAGTTTTAACACCAAGGTAGACACAGCTGTGGACAGGGATTATTTAAAGACAGGCTATATAATCTACCTTCTTTTGCAAAATTTTAGCATGCTTTCTGAATGTGGGGGTAACCCAGTCTGCAACAGTATTGTGTATGAACACAAAGCATGTTACAGTCATGTTTGGCTACAGCTATAGCCGAAAATAGTTTACACATAATAATGTAGACAGAGTCTCAATTAGCAACTTTCACAAGCCTGTAATTGTCACTCCAGAATTGCACAAACTTAATTGGAAATGGTTGTATTTTTTTCCTAACAAAAGGATGCTGTGTTATTTCTGAACTTCATATCAATCATGTTTTTAATCTAATCTTCTAGTATTGCCTGCAGTCACATCATAAGCCCTAAACATGTCCAGATGCCAGGGCAAGTCAATTGCTATCAGCTGTGTTACTATGGAAACCTCTCACAGCTTTATCCTGTTAAAATTACAGTGTTATATAACCTTTTTTTATTATTATTAATTCTCCTTTGAAGCTACCAAAGCTGACTTCTTGAATTTTTGTATCTATTTACACTGCAAGCTTGAGTGAGAATTTAGATGCATGAATATATGAACAAAGACTGATCATAAAATGATAATTTCTTATAAGAAGTAAACACACACACACACGCACCAAATGCAATTTTCTGCTGAGTCAACTTATAAAAATGGTCTCTCTCAAACTGGCACTTTTGCTGATTAGTACCCTGGCTTTTTGTATGTTTACTGGGAAACTTCTAAATGTATGCTATAATATACATTTCTAGGTCAACTTACCTTCAGAGGTGCCAACCCTAAACACCACTGTGCACTTATCTAGAGATGTGAGTATGTCAGACCTGACCCATTTCTTTATAAAAAAACCCAACAAAACAAAAAAACATACTGCACTATTATATAGTCATAATCCCAAACAGCACAGTTCACAATAATTATTGCATTAGTGTAGAATACTCTAGCATTTTTATAACAAAGTGTTCACAGAGCTTGCCTTATTCCACAACTCTTACTATTCAGCTGAAAGTTTGTGGCCTAGTGGGAGAAAGGAGGTGTTTAAGAGAGAATGTGTTGGTGAGAACCCATTGTGACGGGTTAGATCACAGAACCCCCCTTGGGAGCTGCCACCTGATGTGCCAAGACTACTTCTACCCCTGCCTTCCCTGCCAGCTCGGGGCCCCAGCACCCTGTCTTGCTGAGCCAGACACTCCCGTCTGCTCCAACAAAGACCCAGGATCTGAATTACTTGCCCCAAAGCTGCAGGTTTACCTGAAAGCGGCTAACAGAAGTGTTCTTGCCTTTAACACTCAGATGCCCAACTCCCAATGGGGTCTAAACCCAAATAAATCCATTTTACCCTGTATAAAGCTTATGCAGGGTAAACTCATAAATTGTTCGCCCTCTATAACACTGATACAGAGATATGCATGGCTGTTTGCTCCCCCAGGTATTAATACATACTCTGGGTCAATTTATAAGTAAAAAGTGATTTTATTAAATAGAGAAAGTAGTATTTAAGTGGTTCCAAGTAGTAACAGACAGAACAAAGTAAGTCACCAAGCAAAATAAAATAAAATGCGCAAATCTATGTCTAATCAAACTGAATACAGATAATCTCACCCTCAGAGATGCTTCAGTAAGTTTTTTCCTCAGACTGGACACCTTCCAGGCCTGGGCACAATTATTTCCCCTGGTACAGCTCTTGTTGCAGCTCAGGTAGTAGCTAGGGGATTCTTCATGATGGCTCCTCCTCCTTTGTTCTGTTCCACCCATTTATATAATCTTTTGCATAAGGCGGGAATCCTTTGTCCCTCTCTGGGTTCCCACCCCCTCCTTCTCAATGGAAAGACACCAGGTTAAAGATGAATTCCAGTTCAGGTGACAAGATCACATGTCACTGCAAGACTTCATTAAGCACTTGCCAGCACACACGTATACAGGAAGACTTACAGGTAAAACACACCCATCTGCAGACAATTGTCCTGGTTAATGGGAGTCAAGATTCCAAACCACCATTAATGGCCCACACTTTGCATAATTACAATAGGCCCTCAGAGTTATATTTCATATTTCTAGTTTCAGATACAAGAGTGGTACATTTATACAAATAGGATGATCACACTCAGTAGATTATAAGCTTTGTAATGATACCTTACAAGAGACCTTTTGCATGAAGCATATTCCAGTTACATTATATTCGCTCATTAGCATATTTTTATAAAATCATATAGACTGTAACGCCACACCCATAAAAGCCCATTTGCTAGGCACAGCACCTTAGCAAGAAAACATTTAAAAATAATGGACCAGTTCCTCAGAGGGTGTAAATCATCTTAGCACCACAGAGCTATTCCAATTTACACTAGAAGAGGATCTGTCCTAACATTGTTGCAGCTGTTTTCTTGTCCCACAATCATGTCAGGCCCTGAAGTTCAAGAATGAGTTTGGTGACTTGTACAGGGTCCTGTGGAAGGGCTTGATCCAATGAACATCCTTTTACTTGCAATGTTATGTTCAAAAGCGTGGCGAGGTGTTAAAGTCTACTCCCAACACAACTTCTAGAATATATATCTTGGTCCCATCTCTATTGGTTTTCATTCCTGTGGAGTGTCTTGTCCACAGTCTCATGATAGCAAATGTCATTTTCCAAGATGCTTTAATATAAAATCTATGGATATTTTATCTTTTGACCATTTATTTCAGCTAATATTTTCCTTGATAGCGTGTTAATATCCTTGATCATTGTCATTCCTACCCGAGTTTCTGATCTTCTAAGTTTGGCTCCCTCACTTCTATATATACCAACATGTGAGGGAATCCATTGAAAAATCAAGTTATTGCCTTGCTCTCTGATCCTCCGAGCCTCCTTATGAACTGTATTGTTGATAGCATTCTGATTTCTTGAACAGGAACTGAGGATTGCTTCTTGCAAGTCAACAATCATGAGAAAATCCACCTCTATTTCTGCTTTTTTTTTTTCTTTTTGAATGCCCTGAGAATAGCTTTCATTTCAGCCATATAATTCAAATTGGTGTATCCCGGCCCAATGCTCTTCCTTGTACTCTCTCCATTGAGGCTACCAGATGTAGACACACAACCACCATTCTTGAAGTATTTGTCTGACGAACCACTGGTGTACGCATAAATCTGTTTGCCTTGTCACTGACACTGCTGGATGGTCTTTTCTTCCATTTTTCTTAGTGAAACCAAGTCCAGGTGTTCCTTCGAGCAAGGTTTCAAAAGAAAGAGATATTTACCAAAGTAAATAGGTTCACAAGGAGGAATTAATGGGCATACAAGATTCTTTATGCACCTTACCTTCCTATCATCATGAAATGCTGCTGTTTCTTTAGTAGCCTTTACGCCTCTTTTGAAACAAGACAATCCTTTCAGCCTTGATTTGGTTTTTCAGTTCCTCAACAATGACATTCAGTTAGAGAATGAAGACAATTTCCACACCAAATTAGCTGTTCTTTGCTATGATTCTCAAGAGGTTGAACATCAGACTCACAAATTGCTGTTGGAGTAGATCTTACAGATCCAGTTATCAGGTGAACTGCAGACGACTGGACAATGTCAGTCTTGGCAAGGCTTCTGGGAGCAAATGTGTGACTAGAGAGATGAGGCATATTCAAGTATTGGGAGATTGTTGTTTTCAGAGACCTAATACAAGAACCCAAATTGGTACTGGAGTTACATCAGAGATGTTTTGGTCTCTTCTTTGCTTTGACTGCCACATTTGTGGTCCAAACCTTAGTTCTGTGGCCAAGGTCATTCCAAAATATACGAGGTTCTTCTCCAACAGCAATACCTTCTCCATCCAATAGTATGGTAAATGGACTTTTTTTGGCT